TGTCCGTGTGTGTCTGTGTGTGTCTGAGTGAGTCTGTGTGTGTGTGTGGGTGGGTGTATGTGTGTGTGTGTCTGTGTGTGTGTGTGTGTCTGTGTGTGTGTGTGTGTTTGTGGTTGTCTGTTTTTTTTTGGTGTGTGTTTGTGTGTGGGTGTGGGTGTGCGTGTGTCTGTGTGCGAGTGTGTTTCTCTGTGTGCGTGTGTGTGTGTGTGTGCGTGTGCGTGCGCGGGTGTGTGTGTGTGTGTGTGTGTGTCTGTGTGTGTGTGCTTGTGTGTGTGTGTGCGTGCATGTCTTTGTGTGTGTTCATTGATGAACTCATGCATCTGTGGAGTGCTCTTGTTTGAGTGGTTTGCTGCGTGCATTATCTCAGCCAGATCCAAAGACCTCATGCGATACCGCGCGTGACTGTGTGCATCTGAGACGAGAAAACAAAGCCCCAACTCGGCATTGCGGTGTGCGAGCTCTTGCTTGAGAGAGTCAGAGACCGAGTCTGCCCACTAGAGTTGCGGCTTGTGCCTCCATGCATGCTTGGAAGAGCCCAGGCCATGGACAAGCACGCCCTGTACTCGGAGAACATGTACGCGCAGATCTATAGGACTCGTGAGGGCATATACATGGCATCCCGGTGTTTGTGAGTATGAGGGCAACCAGTCAAAGTGAGAACCTTCAACTCCCCAGTCTTGATCGAGACTCGAACCGTAAACCCTAAACCCTAAAACCCTAAACCCTGTAAAGTCATAATAGTCGAATTGGCTTTCCGCAGGGCAGCCTTCTCAAAGAGCATGTCGGGGGCTGTCTTTGCGACTTGGCACAAGCACATGAAGTTCTTTTGATGCTGTGTTTTTGTTGGTGTGTTCCGCTGCTGGATCTAAGATGCTGCTCCGAGCTCTGAATCATGCACTTTGTGTCGGCAGCGGACGTCGACTAGCTGACTTCCGCGTGCCGGTGGAGGACCGGCTCCAGCCGGGTGGTGTGGAATCCATTCGGAATGTGAAGCTCAAACCGGTGGCAGAAAGACCTATCCTCGTCGCCGCGCCGGCCTCGGTGTCCAGTCAGCAAACCGGAAGCTGCATCTAGATTGGCTGCCAAGGTGGCCGACGAGGAAGCCATGGGGTTCCGTTGCCTCAATTTGCTGTTCGGACCAATGTGGCTTCGCGGCTGTCCTTTGCCAGAATATTGTCACCCCGTCTGGGGGGACGTGTCCAGGGCATTGAATTCATCCAAGCTCCGCGGCTCCGTGATGAAAGGCACACTTCTGACGAACTTCTACAAAGGTCCGTTCCAGAGCCGGACAAACACGTTCCATCTCAAGGAGGCGGCGAAGCTGTTCGCACAGACGGCCAGCGAGGATGAGTTGGACCTCCTTTCACCGGGCTATGCCTTTGACATGGGCCTACCAGAGGACACGATACTCACACCAGAGATGGTGTTGCAGTCTCCGGGCATTTCGTCCAACCTCCCTCAGGCAGGGGATGGAGAGCATGTTTCTTCGCTTTTTGTGCGCATTCATTGAGCAGCTGTGTCTCGCATTTTCGCTTTGGGCAGGCCAAAAGCAAACAATGGTTTGGAATACGCGAAGCCTTTGATGCCCTGGCCTCATCTTGGACCGTGCTCGCTGCAGTCACGCAGTTTTCTCGGAAGTTGTTGGCAGCCGAGGACGAGAAGGCCGATGTGTGTAGAGGGATGCATAAGGTTCCGTAGGATCCTGGACGTTGCCTGATTGTGTTATGCATCCCGACCCAGAACATTGCCGGGAACCGGGATGACGAGCAGGAGGCTCCGCCGGCCATTGCGGCCGAAGAGCCCGCCACCCGGAAGGCTTTCAACCTGCTCCGATCTTCATACGCAAACACAGCCGACTTCGTTACGGACCTCTTCGCGGAGCAGGCGTTGAAATTGAAGCTGAGGCTTATTTCTTTTGATCTCGAGGACTTGCACTTGGAGTACTCCCGATCACTGCAGCAGCTCCAGAGAGGACAAGAAGCCATGATGACGTTTCAAGCGGAGCGTTCGGCGGGGAGCTGGTTCCACACAATCAACGACATGCTGGCGCGCAGCATGTCGCCACTGCTGGTTGCGACACTGGGAATGCATCCAGCCCCCATGCGAGGCGCAAGGCCTCATGATCCAGAGCACCCCATCCTGCAGACAGACCAAACTCTAGTCCAGCTTCACTGGACTTTTTTGGTCGACCTCATAGCGAACAGGGTCTGGAGCCAGAGCTTCTACTCCCTGACTTGGCCGTTCATTCTCGCTCAAGCTTTTCTTCCCGAGCACAGGGCTCGAAGTAATGCGTCGGTGCTTTGGAAGGCATCCTGCACAGCTGTGCTGGAGTTGGAGAGCTTTGTCGCGGCAAACCCAACAAACGGATCCGCCGCTGCCCTGCTAGGAGACATAGGAAGCAACACCTGGCAGATCACCAGGGAGATCTTTGTTCTGGGTACCCAAACGTCTTGGAACCCGGAGGACAGTGAGATCAGAGCCACTGCCTGGGCCCTGTTTGCCAGCCCTGCGGCAACCAAGGACCTGCTGGAGTCTGCCTTCAACTTTGTGAAGGACTCGAGCGAAAGGCAGTCTCGAGTTGGCAAGATGTCTCCTTGGACTCGCTACAGCTACTTGGCCGTGAATCCGCATGCCCAGCAGTCTGGGGCGCAACAGTCCACAGTGGACCGCAGTGACTTCATCAGGCTATCAGGGGCACCGGCCGCGATCCAGGATGTCCTCAACCTCAAACCATTCACGCCATCGGCAACGCCGCTGCATGAGCAAACCCCTTCAGCTGCAGAGATTCATAAGCGTTGGCGCCCTGCCGGCTACGCAGCGAATCGACAGAGTGCCGCTGCCATGGCCCTGACCCTGAAGCTCAAGAATGATTTCAGAATGGCGCAGCACGCGTGGACAGGTCCCCACCCAAACCTTTAGCCCTAAGCACGATAGGTCCCTAAAAAGTTGTTTGAGATCGGACACCTGCTGTGTCCGAAAGTACCAGGGTCGCCGCAGGCTGCTTTCTGAGATCCAGAGAGTTCTACTTCCACAAGCTGAACAAGCGCTACATGCTCTGCCTCGGATTCTTCAAATGGTGTGCCGCCGCTATTCCCGCAGAGGTCGTTCGCTCTGATTCCGGACAGGCTCACGGGTTCTCGCATATCACACCCTAAACCCTAAACCCTAAACCCTAAAACCCTAAAGTCGATGGAGCATGTTTTTTTTTCTAGGCATTCCTTCGGCCCGTGATGAACAAATCCTACCCAACGTACGAGTTTTGCTTCGACCTCTCGGAGTCCTGCGTGTGGGAGCATGTGCCCACGCGCGTCTTGGCAGCTGGAGCCCTGCCAGCAGATGTTGGCGGCTATGGTTGTTTGCCCTTGATTGCCGGACCCCAAGCACCTATCCTGGAATCAGGAATCCGCGCGGGCATGCAGCTGAGTGTGGCAGAGCTGCGGAATATTCTGCAACTGCGGAACATCGATCCGCCCCCAAACAAAACTGGCAGCGGCGCAAATGGCAACGTTGTTAAGCGCGACTTGGTCACTGTACTCGTCAATGCACTTTTTCCAGACATGAACGAGCAGACCAGGACCGAGCTCATCGAGAAAATGGCAGGCAAGCCACGCGAGAACACATCTTTGGATGAGAGCGAGTTGAATCTGAAGCTGGTGGCGCATTTGGACGTTCAAGAGCAGCCGCATTTCAAAACAATCGTGAAGGATGCTTTGGACCATCTGGAGGCTACAAAGGAACGTGCACGCCTGAAGGAGAAGCAGAGAGAGATGCATGCGGCTGAAGGCAGAGACGCTCCGGCTGCAGGGGTCAATCCCTTCGCCGGGGCGCATGGGTTGTGTGGTGAGAGGGCCTCTGCTCCACGCGCCAAGGCTCCCACTCAGTTTACCAGTCTGTTGCCTCCTTTAGACAGCCTCTACTTGCACTTCGAGCCACAGAATCGAAGAGTCTGGGTTGAGTTCAAACGAAGCCAAGCAGCACTTGTAAGTATTATTATTAGTGGTGTCTTTCTGGTGTCGTCGACCTTTGTCTTTAATTGTGCACGCAACTGTCCCCCAACCGCGCACTGCGCACGTGAGCGTCAGGATTGCGAGATCATCAGCGTACCAAGACGGCATCTTGGAAGGGAGACCCTACGCAGGAAGAGAAGATTGAGTGCTTGTGGAAGGTATTTGATTGGTGCCGGACGACGTACCACTTGTGCTTCGGGGATCATCCACACTACGACAAAGACTACGCAGCGCTCCTAGGCATCCGTTCCTATTGCGCCCTCAACCCTAAATTTTTTGCGGATAGACAACCTGATGCATAACCTACACGCAGACAGGATAGCTTGAGCCCCGAATCCCAGACCCTAAGTTTTCGGAGCTGTGTTTATGTCCCAACGGAAGCCTTAAAGATCCCTTCATCAGTTGCTAAAACTTTCCTGTAATAAATATTTTCTATGCACTTCCTTATAAGAAGGGACCCTAAACAAGCCACTGCGACGACGCGACGACGACTGATTACTAATCCAAGGCCGAACCGTCGTGCCCTCGAAGAAGCCTTGCTGGAGCTCGAAGCAGCCGGGGTGTGAGCAAAAAGGCTCTACGCTGTGCGGCTGTAAAAGCACTCAACCCTGACTGAGCCCTGAAGCCTTCCATCCGAATCCCTAAACCTCCATCTCTTATGATAGTTTGCAGATACCCTAGACCCAGCCCGACTTAAAAAAGCCAGCTAAGATCTTTGTTGTTGGGGGTGTGTTTTTGCCCCCCCCCCTAGGGGAATTTCTTGATTCAAGTCTCTAAGAGACCCATGACATCTAACACCCTCGTCGGAAGGAAGCTCTTCAAGTCCATAAGAGACCCCCTAAACCCTAAACCCTAAACCCTAAACCCTCGTCGAAAGGAAGGGTCCGACCTCCGAGTCCTCCAGGGCCATCCAGGCCCAAAGCGTGCTCCAAAGCCCCTCCATCTTCGAAGCCTCGGCAGCTCTCGGTGCTTTTTTGGGGGGGGTTGTAGATGGGCTTATAAGGTTTTGAGGGCTGAAGGATGGGCTTATAAGGTTTTGAGGGTTGAGGCTTGTTCAGTGTTTAGGTTTCGGTCTTTTTGGCGCTATATACCAACAGGCTTGAGGCTTTCGGCGCTCACGCTCGGACACTCCAGGCGAGGCATGTGGTTCGAGATGGAGTAGGCCACGGTTTTAGTTGTCCTATGGGTCTAAGTGTTCTTTGGGTGGGCATTTTTGGGGCGTCGCTGCAGTTTGGGCTTTAAAGGTGCAGGAGTTCGTGCTCAACAATACAAGGCTGGATTTGGGGGTTGGTTTCTGGCTTGTCTGCGGGCGAACGGTTCAGGCAGCTCTGCATGTTTTGCCTCAGGGAGTCTCCGAGTCTCAGAGTTCTGCCATAACCCCCCAGGTACCTACTATATAGGGTACTAGAGCCCCTATGGCCCCTATGTAGTAGGTACCTGGAGGGTTAGGGTTGGGTTCCGGCATCTGCGCAGCATTTGGGACTTACATGGGGTGGGGGCTTCACGACTGGGCGCAGGAAGGTCCAGGCATTGGTTGCAAAGTTCGCATCAACATTCAAGCGCCCTGCATGCCCAACCTCTGAAGCCAACCCCAACTACAGCACATGGAGGCCCAAGACAGCACAGAATCATTAACATGTAACATAAAACAAACATGGAAAATAAACAAATAAATGAAAATAAATAATGAATTAAACAATTTTTTGGCTCCGCACTTGGCAACGTCAGCGCGCTGACACTGCATGCCAGGTCACATGTCCACAAATAAATAAATAAATAAATATATATATATATATATATATTTTTTTAAATTTATATACATATATATATACCGGAAAGTTGTAAATTTGGGCATTTGTTCCTCTCTCGCAGGGCTATAGGGACGATGCTCACAAGCGAGGTTTGCCATGCACGCGCTGCTCTGTGATCCATGGCACCTTCCGCAGAAAATCGCGCCCTTCCCCGACTCGTACTTTGACGGTCCTGCGCAGACTTGCCGCTTTTGCTCTGGCAGTGTCCAGAAATCAAGGTGAATGTCTTTCGATGCCCTTCTTCATCCGAGCAAGCTTTGGACTCATATCTGTCACTTCCAACCTATGTTAAAGCCCTATCAGACAAACCACCACCAAGGGCAACCGGTCATGTTGGTAACAATCCTGACAGTGACAGCAACAGGCAATATGAGGGATGCTTCTCCTGAGAGCGCTGTTGAAGATGACTGTACACCGTACACGAGGATTTTTGATACGTCGGGATAGGATCGATGGCGAATAAGTTATGGGATCCTTCAGGGTTGGGGGGTGCAAGGAGTGTATATAGCCAAACAATCCACTAGGCTCTCTTTAGGTTCCCTATACGGATCACTTATATGCCCCCCCCCCCCTTGCACTACCCGTGTTTCAAGATAATACAACTAGAGTCATAACGAAAGTGGTGATGGTTCTGCGGAGCTGGTGTCTTGAATGTATCGATAATGTCGCTGCCGTTGTTGGTGCCGGTCGAGCTAGTCACATGGGTCTGATGATGATGGTGGCCACCGGGCGAAGGCTGGTTCTGAACGTGACAAGGGCGGGCACTATGCTATCATGGACCGGCAGAACGGCGGAGGACGGATGTGTTGCAAACCTGTTGATCACGGTTGTGCTGCTATACGGGCATCAGAACTGGTGCGATGGTGATGCTGACAACGATGGTAACCATGACACCTGTCACCAAGATGATGGCGGTGGTGTTGTTTATGATAGTGATGGCAGTGGTTGTTACGGCTCGGCTGATGCAATGATGGCGGTGGTGGTGATGGTGGCGATTGTTGTGAGGGTGAGGCACAGGTGCTGGTCATGGCAATAGACTGATGGCCATGATGATGACCCGACTGATATGATAATGACGGGTGATGACTCTGACGATGCCGCGGATGGTCGGTAGTTACCCTGTCTTAGCTTGGTCACCTTGCCCCCTAAATCCACCCACATACAGGCATCCTGGCTGGAGCCATCGTGAGGCGCGGCATCTTCCACCAGTGAACTGAAGAAGCCTGGGATTTGCATCATGGCAAGAAGGATTGGTATGTGGGTCTCTGCGCATTTACTTCCGCAGTGCATGGAGTTCAAGAGGTCAGGTGGTGTGGATCCTAGGTAAGCAGAACTTGAAGCTGAGCTACCTGGTGCTGGGTTTTGCCTCTGTCACAGGGTGTCTGTACATGCCAACCAGAGTATCTGCAAAGAAGAGATTCCTTCTGGCATGATGTGCCTAGTGTTCAGGCTCCGTTGTGTCGGCGCAGTGATGCAAGAAGCGACAATCTAAGAACTAAGCACTTATACACGGTGAAGTCTGCTTTGGGCCGGGCTGCCAAAGGCATCGGATGACTTTCCCTGGGAGGACTTGTGCGACTGTGCACCCTGTGGCGACAGCGGCTGTGAACCTTCTCCGTCGCCCTGCAGGACAGTGCTTTCCCCACGAAGAGCTAGAGTAATGATGATAGCATCGACGATAGCCATGGTGAAAGTGGTCTGTTCGGTGATGATGGAGGAAATTATGTTGAGGCAAGTCGCGAAGCCGGCATACTAACACCCATAACCCCCCAATGAATATTGGGTTAAACTCCAGAAACAGAATTAGTAGTTGTATTAAGTTTTTGTTCTATTTATATGTATACATGAGAATATATTCCTGCTGATACATTACAACATTAGTGGTATGTTACTCAGTAGTATATGGTCCGGTAGTCGTCGAGTCTGAGTGCCAGAAGCTGGTCGTGGTAGTGGCTACTAGTAGTAGTAGTAGTAGTAGTAGTAGTAGTAGTAGTAGTAGTAATAGTAGTAGTCGTCGTCGTCGCCGCCGTCGTCGTCGTAGTACTAAGTAGTAAGAAGAAGTAGTAGTAGTACTAGTAGTAATAGTAGTGGTAGTAGTAGTAGTAGTAGTAGTCGTAGTAGTCGTAGTAGTAGTAGTAGTAACAGCA